AAGGCACTCTGTTGGTCGTGACGCTCAAGTGAATGTCAACGGTGACCGATTGGACTTCCCAGGTACCATGGTCAATTTGTGTTTCTGCGTTGCATAAACTGCACCGAGAGCACCGCGCGCACGGGCGCGCGCGGGTGACCATGATCACCCGCTGGCGTGCGCGCGTAGAGCGTTCAACATCGTTCGGAACAAAAGAGTCCTCATTGTGTCCTTGATTTCCAATTGCACATTTAATTGTGACCGATTTGGCTTTCCAGCTGATATGGTTTGCTTGCACGCCCTTTACTATGGACACCACAGACAGTACCTCGCGCGCGGACGCGCGCAAGTGACCGTGGAAACCCGCCCGCGCGCTCGTGTTGAGGGCACTGTCTTCACTGGCATAGAGAAGTCGCCATGTTGGCTTGGAGAGTGAAGTCTTCGCCCAGTGGTGACCGATTGGGCTTCCTATTTACCACGCGTTTCCTTCTTGACATGCCCTTTGGACGCCACAGAGACCAACGCGCGCGCGGGCGCGCGCGGGTGAGTCTGGTCACCCGCCCGCGTGCGTGCGTGGAGCGTTCCGTATTGCTTGGCATAGAACAGTCGCGATGTCGGGCTTGGAAGTCAAGGGGGCACTGCGGTGGCAGCTTGGCTTTCGAAGTTAGCAGCGGCAGCTTTTGATTTCCCTGCGCCAGAGAAAACACAGAGAGCACCGCGCGCGCGGACGCGCGCGGGTGACCGCGGCCGCCCGCTGGTGCGCGTGCGCGGCGCGTTCCGCATTGCTCGGGGTCGGGCAATCGCCATGCTGGTCTTGGAAGCCAAGTGAACACCCAACGGTGACCGATTGGATTCCACAGTTACCAGGGGTTTCATTGCATGCCCAGTATTACTGGCACTGCAGAGCACCCCGTGCGCGGACGCGCGCAGTGGCCATGGTCTCTCGCCAGCATCTGTGTTCAGAGCGTCTTGCATGTCCAGACATCCCAAACAAAGAATGTTGGCCTGGCATCTAAAGCGGCCACTTCGCGGTGACCGATTTGACGTCGAGGTTAGCGTGGCTTCACTTGCGCGCCCCGCGCGACTGGCGCCACAAAGCGCCGCGCGCGCGGCCGCGCGCGGGTGATCATGATCATTGGCCAGCGTGGGCGCGCCGAGCACCTTGCAGTGCCTGGAATAGAAAAGTTGCCATATTTCCCTCGGAGCGACAGCGATCAGTTATCGGCGGCTGGTTGACACTCGAAGCCTCCATGGTCGTTCTTACAGGTCCAGCAGCACGGGCGCCGCAGACAGCGCGGCGCGCGCGGACCTGCGCGCGCTACCATGGTCAGCCGCCTGCGTGCGCGCGTAAAGCGTGCTGTATTTTTGAAGTTGAGATTCCGCCACGTTTGCCTGGAAGCTAAAGTGATCACTTAGCGGTGACCGATTGGATTTCTGAGTCAATGCGAGTTGTCTTGCATGCTTTGAAGTGCGGATGCCAAAGGGGGCACCTTGCGCGCGGGCGCGTGCAGGTTACCATGGTCGCCCGCCTGCGCGCGCGTTCAGAGCGTCCTGCGTGCCCTGGGAAAGAACAATCGCCATGTCGTCCTGGGAAATTCAGTAACCACTTAGCGGTGACCGATTTGACTTCGAAGGCAACATGGTTTTCACATGCCTTTTATTTTGGGCGCAACATGGGGCACCGCGAGCGCGGGCGTGCGCGGGTAACCATGGTCACCTGCCAGCATGCGCGCTGAGAGCGTTCTATATTTAGTGGGTTGAGAATTTGCCATGTTGGCGGAGGAACTCGAATGACCACTTAGCGGTGACGGAATGGATTTCGAAGCTAGCACAGTTTTCTTGTATATCTTGCGCCACGCGCGCGGGGGCACAGGGAATGCCGCGCGCGCGGACGCGCGCGGGTGACCAGGGTCATTCGCCAACGTGCGCGCGCAGAGCGTTTTGTATTTCTCGAAGTAGAACAGTCACCATCTTGGTCTCAACTACAGTGATCACGTAGCGGTGGCCGACTTGATTTCAAAGCAAATACGAGTTGTCTTGTACGTCCTGAACTATGGACGCTACAGGGAACACCTCGCGCGCGGACGCGCGCGGGTGACCATGTTCACCACTGAAGAGATTGTTTTTTTGCATGTTGCGCGAAGGTGCACTGGGAAATCTGTTTTAGTTTACGAAAGAACCCACCCTGAGGGCCGCCGCCGATTTCGGGAAAGCCTTCTGCCTCCCACCCGCCTGCGCTTTTTCTCGAGCCCGCCCCTTGGGGGACGCCGCCGGCTTTCGGGAAACCCGTTTTGCATTTCGACACTTCGATTTTCTGGGTGGGCCCACCCCCGGCCGTCGTGGCATGGGGAAGGGCGATTATGGATAGTTTATGAACCACCTTTTTGGGGGCAGCGGGGGGCCCCGATCATCTCCCCAGCATGTTTCGCAATCGGCTTGCAATGTAAAGTAGGCCCTTTTTTTCGTGGCCCAGATATGCCGGAAAGAAGGGTGGTACACCATCTCGATCTCATTTGTTTCCGCTGTTAGGTTTGTTATTTATTTTCTCGGGCCCTGAGCTTGTTCGTCGGTCTCGCGGGTATGTTGTTGCCGTCGCCTTTCCGTGCCCGCCTCGTCGCCGCCCGTGCCTGGGCTTGTCTGTCGGTCTGGCGGCTTTGTTGTCGCCGTCGCCGCTTTGTCGCCGTCTCGTCGCCGCCCGACGTTTGTGCCTGTGTGTCGGTCTGGCGGGTATGTTGTCGCCGTCGCCGCCCCGTCGCCGCCTCGTGGCCGCCCGGCGCCAGGGCCTGCCTGTCGGTCTGGCGGCCATGTTGTCGTTTTTGCCGCCCCGTCGCCGCCTCGTCGCCGCCTGTCGTCTGGGCCTGTCTGTCGGCATGGCTGCTATGTTGTCGCCGTCGCCGCCACGTCATCCCCCATTGTGTGGGCTTGTCTGTCGGTCTGGCAGCTGCGTTGTCGCTGCTGTCGCCCCGTCCCCGCCTCGTCGCCGCCCTAGACCGCGCCGCGTATATTGCAGCGCGTGGATGAGCCATAATGGTTGCACCGTATAGATAGCACCACATAACTTTCACCGTATGGCTTGCACAACATATATTGCGCCGCGTAGGTTGCACCACATGGATCACATCACCGATGTTGCACCACGCAGGTTGCACAAGCATGCGTTGCACCGTGTCTTTCGCACCAAATGTACTGCATCATGTAAAGTCTACAGTCCAGGTTGCACCACATGGGTTGCACCACTTGTGCAATATATCTATTGGGCCGCATGAGTTGCACCACGTGGCTTGCGCAATATATTTTGCACCACCCAGGGTGCACAACATGTAGTGCCACACAGCGGTTGCACCTCATTTGAATGCGTCACGTCGGCTGCGCAACATAAATTGCGCCACATCGATTGCACTTGTTCTCACTGCACCGCGTAACGTGCACAACAGTCATTGAATTGATCAGATTGCACCACATCTATTGCACAACCTTTATTGCACCACGTAGAGTGCACAGCGTGTATTTCAACACGTCGGTTTTAACACATAGGTTGCACCACGTATACGGCAGAAAACACACTGCACCACATACATCGGACCACATACATTACTAGAGACACTGTTTGGTGTCCACGCTGGCTAACACTGTCAATGTGCTACTGCGTGGACGGATGTTGCCATCTGCGCCTCGCGCCGTTACGTCACTGAAGATGATATATTGCGCGCGCCGTTGTTCCCATCACCCCTGTTTTTTAAAAGATCGAGATTTGCTGATCCGCGTTGACCCCCTTTGCCCTGGTCCACTTCATTCGTTGGTGTGGGGTGGTTCATGTGTTGCATGGGGCGGAAAGCCCTTGCGCCTTTCGCAATAACGCCAGTTGAGATCGCAAACACATTTTTCATGCGAGGGGTTCGCATTGTTGCGGTTCCTGTGCGGTGGCCAGCGGTCGCGGGTCCGTTTAGCGTGAGCATTGGTTTGAATTTCGTGTGACGGGCTGAGATTCGTAGTGCAAGCTCTTTAATCACGAGGCGCTGTTCGCGTCTACCATCCGGGTCCTAATTTCGGGCCGTTGCTCAGCCCGATTGGCAAGGGGTGATGTTTGGGACTGGTGGGCACCATTATCCAAACAGTTCTTGCGTTATGGGTTTACTACGGTTGTGGTGAAGAGCTAGTCGGCAAATTGATTGTTCGGCATGTCGTTGCCTGTGGATGTTCGTGGGCGCCTCGATGGCGCCTCGTGCGCTGATCGGGTATCCCGAGGTTTCGGCTGGTCGCCGCTAGTGGGCGTCCGCTGGCGCCTCGTGGGCGCCTCGCGCGCTGGCTTGGTTCCCCAGAATTTCGGTCGGACGCCGCCCGCGCGCGCCAGATGGCCCCTTGCGGGGATTCGCGCGTTGGCGGCGCCATGTAGCCTGCGCCGACAGGTTGCACCGCGAAGATAGTAAAATGAAGATTGGACCACACAGGTGGCGCCACGTAGATTGTTCCACTGAGCTTGCGGCACAAGGGCTGCACCATATAGACGGCGCCACATACTTTGCGCCACATAGCTTGCGCCACATATCTTACACCACATGGTTTGCGCCACGCAGCTTCTTTCGCGTAGCTTTTGCGACGTTGTTTTCATGCGCTGTTTTGCACCGCGCGGATTGCACCACGCAGGATGCACCGCAGGTTTTGCGTCGCACTGCTTGCACCACATAGCTTGCACCACATGCATTCCGTCATATAACCTCCACAGTATTGCGCGGACCACGCAGTTTGGGCCGCACATTTGGTGCCATGTATATTGTGCCAAGTTGTTTCCGCCGCGTAGTTTGTGCCGAATCGGTGCCACAGCATTTGCGCACCCACTGTGCGCAACCCTACCTATTTGGGTCCACGCTGACAAACAGATGTTTCTCTTCGCATGTCCCCCATACGCCCAGGAAGCCCTCTTAAGGCAGCGGATCGTAGAAGATACGGGAGATGAGCATCGCATGGCCGAGGATGGTTTCGAGAAAGAGAAGTGGACCAGCCTTGCGGATGTCTGGAGCACCATGAGTGCGAAGATCGGCATGGCTCGGTGGTTCGGCTGGGTCGACACAGCTCGCGCCTTCCTCCCAATGTGGCACCGCCGCTTGCTCACATTGACGTTCATGTGCATGCTCACTGGCACGTTGGACACAGGCAAAGCGTTGTCGATGCTCGGTCGTGTTGCTACCGAACAGAAGTCAAAGTACGACGAGGATGTTAAAAAAACTGCAACCTCCCACGAACCAGATGATGTTGCAAAATTGCGCAGGGCAGCCCAGAATGCAGCACACCTGGCGTGCATCTGCCTTGGCGACCAATCGTTGCTCGAGAATTGCCGCATCATTGTGACTACCATGGGGCCTCTCAGGCAATGGCACACAGAGCAGTCGACAACACTGCGATCCACAAAGGACGCGAAGGATTGGTACATCCAACAGTCCAGGGGGCAGCAAATGGTGGTGATGAAGGACTTGTGGTGCACTCTTCGTGTTGACGGCGCCCTGGAGAAGTGCGGCATTGGCGTGTGGGGCCCGGGCGTGATCCCAGAGCACGCCGACGTGGAGAGCTTGGAAATCATGAACGATTCCAGGTTGGCTGAGATTCTCGGTCGCCTTGTCGTCAGCACCGTTGCGCGCAGATTGCCCGCGCAGCTCTGGCATTCTCACGGCATCCCGGGCTGTTTTCCTCTCTTGCTGGTGGCTGAAAGCAGGGGCGATACAATTAGTCGCATCAGGAAGCAGTACGAGGCTTGGAAGGATTGCGGGCGATTTACTACTAAAGCATGGAAAGATATACTCGACAGGAGCCCCTTCAACACAGTATTTGTGGAAAAGGTCCCCCTCCCATGGAACCCCCCCGAACCCTTCAAAAGGCAGAGCTGGGTGGGGGTCGTAATTGTTGTCATGCAGGCACGAGGAAAACAAAACAATGCGCGGGCCCCGATTGCGGCTTCGGCGCAATAAGGGGCTGTGCCTTGCGGGCGTCGAATGGCGGGGATACGGGGGGGGGGCTGGGGAGGGCGACGTGGGCCCCCCATCTCCACTTGACCCTGCCTTGCAAATCATGTTTGTTTGAGCGTCGCCGCTAAGATTGCTCTGGCCCCGCGTGTTAGATTGAGCTGCGAGATGAAGGGGTCGCAGCGAGCGCGGCAGCGTTTCTGCTCGTAGATGGCAAGTGTCACCGCGAGCAGGGCCAACGCACCGAGCGTCAAACTGCCGACGCTTCGCGTATCCTCACCAACCCATCCAGACACGATGCCCAGCGGAACTGCTTTGAACAGGGGAGCGCGGCGTCATTGGGAGATCTCTTGGGCATACGCGGACCAGAGGTCCTTTGGGTGCTTTCTTGGGCCCCGTGGCGTGTCTCCAAGGGGATCCCTTGTGGGTGTTTTGGGGTATCTTGGATGCTCAATGGAAGCGTTTGGGCGCGTTTTGGGGGCATCTTCGGGGCCCCTTGGGAAACCCAGGGGTTTTGCTAGGGCCTGTTGGGGGCATATTGGGGGCCTTTGGGAGCCTCTTGGGGCCTCTTGGGGGTCCTGGAGCACCCGCGGGGTTCTCGAAAGTTTTGTCGGGCCGTCTTGGGGCCATCTTGGGGTCCAGCGAGAACAAAAGCAAGCGGCCCCAATGGGCTTCGCCCCCCCCCCCCCCAGTGGGCCACCATTGGCCCCGAGGTGGAGGAGCGTGCATGACTGATGGTTTCTCGCTGCTGCCATTTCGGGCGATTGCTGGCGACCCCTCCTCTTGCCCAGGGCGGAAGGGGGGAGGGGCGGAGGGGCAGGCGTTTCCCTGAAGGGGGGGACGTAGCATGGAAGAGGGGACGAGTTAGACCACCTCAGCCCAGAAAGGGGGCTGACGGGAGTTAGGCCCCCCACGCCGGCCCAAATAGATGTTTTAGCTGCAACGCGCTGGCCCTGGCCAGAAAAAATCACAGCGTCTGAGTATGTGTTCGGTTCGTCTGCGTGCGTCCGTGTCGCCATGCACTTCGTGTCTTTTGCGCCGCCCCGTGCAAGCGGCGCCGCGAGGCTGTCCGCTGCGTCGAAGCAACCAGTGTTCAGGGATCCCCCAGGGTGCGCGAAAAGGCACGTAGTTTGCGCAATCCCCTGATGGTTCGTAATCTGTGTTTTGATGTTCCATTGTGTTCGTCGAAAACGTGCTGCGGTCCACCTATCTCGGTGCCGCGTCCGTGCCGTGTGCCTGATGCCGTGGGTGCTGTGCTATGTGGCTGGTGCTGTGCATGTGGGTTTGGTGTCGTGCGCGAAGGGCCGTGCACGCGGCGCCGCGTTGGCAACGGCTGTGTGGTGTCGCCCGTGCAGTGCCGTGCGCTCAGGCCACGTGCCCCGCGCCATGCGCGTGGACCTCGTGGCGCCGTCTGCGGGGCCGGAACGGCGTTTTGCAGTGGCGTCGTATTGTCTTATCTTTTCAACGGTTATGTGCAGATATTTGGCGACCCCTTTCTGGGGCAAATTGTTCCTGCGGTGTGATGTTTCCATCCTATCAGGTCGTTGCGCTTCTGGAGAACGCGGGTTGGGCTTGGTCCGATGAGGCAGAGCAGGCAGTTTCAGAAGCGTTCAGCACAGCAGGCTCCAGTAAGGGTGTCGAGGACGCTTTCCACGGCTACAGGATTTCAGAGGGCAAAAGTGTTTCTCGAGCGCTGGCACGCCAAAAGGCATGGATGACCCCCGTATATCCAATTGCCTGCGGCAAACCCAGCCGCCGCGCCAGCGCAGCAGCGCAGCAGGAATGCGTATGACATGCGCGTTCTCTCGATTTCAGTGCTGTGTCTGAACTGGCGCAAGTTCTGGGCGCCCCCTCTTCACTCGCAGGCCCCTGCTCCTCACCTTGTTTCGTTCCTTGTCGTTCCTCCTGCGTCCTCCCCTTCCGCCCCCCTTCGCCTGGCGCAAAGTTTGGACAATCATGAATTTTCTGGTGGTTTGGTTTTGAATTCGCCCCCGCCCCCCGAGGTCATTTCAGGGCCCTCTCGGGTGTCTTGGTGGGGGCCATCAGGGGCCCCATGCAGGGCTTGTCGGCGATATTGGACATGTGGCGGGCGCGATGGTTCCATAGATCTTTTTCCCATGAAACCGGGTCGCCCCATCATAGGGACGTTTGGGCGGACATGGGGGCCGCGTTGGAAACCTTGGGCCTCGTTGGAGGGTATCTCGGGTAATCTTGGGGTCGATTGGGGTTCGCTCGGGGCAGTTTTGGCCCACGTTGGCAGCCCTCGGAGGGCAGGGGGCCTGAAATCCCAGGGGCGATATCAAGCCGACAGGCTTCGAACTCCACGGCCGCTGATGTGCTGTAGGCGTTTCGATGTGTTCTGGTTTGGATTCGCAGGCGGTTTTGTTGGAGGTAATTTCGATGTTTCTCGTGATTTCTCGTGGCGTTCGGGTGTGACTGTGGAGCATATGGGGAGTTCGTTGGGCTTCGTTGGGGTGGCATTTGGGCCCGCGCCTGCCGCCGTGGAGCAATATCTGTTTTTTTTCTCCCGGGGGCGTCCACGGACAAGGAAAAAGGAAGTTCAGGGGGGAATCGGGGGAGGGAAGGGGTTCCGAGGGTGGTCCCAGGCCGAGCGGGATTTGAGCACGACTGAAACCCATCATCTTCAGCATCATGGTTTTCACGCGCCCTGGCACGCCGTTGGCGCGGCAGCGGTTTCTAAGTTGTTGAGCAATGAACATCGTTTTTTGGAGCCTGACTACGAGACCGCAGAGATTGAGCGAGGCATGGCGGCGCGTGTGCCACACGCCATTTTCACACCGAAGAAGAGCACCATGAATACGCCCGAGTTGAGTGCCATCGCAGGCACATCCAGGAAACCCAGTTGGTACTCTCCCTCTCCACTCGCTTCCTCGCAGCTCATTGCGGATCTTGAGTTGTGCGTGCAAGCTTCGGCTTCGGACGTGTTTGCCAAGTCTGTCCCGCACGCATGGCACTGCATGTTGTTGTGGCAGGAGCGGAGTATCATCGTGAAGCGGATTGGATCCGAGAAGTGGCACATCCCATTGGCTGCAATGGGAGGAGTCGCATCTGTGGGATGGCCGGTCCGCATTGTCGCGGAGGGCGACAACGATTTTTTTGATATTGATATGGATGTTTCGGTTTCAGAATTAGCTTGGCTTCACGTGCACGATCCCGCGGAATGGCATGCGTGCAGTTTTGTATGGAAAGGCCCGAAAGAAATGTGGGCCCGTCACCGCATCAAGGGCGGAGTGCGCGGATGTATACTGCCGAAAGCTGGGGCCGCGACGTTGTGGCAAGTCGCAGCTGAGAAGGCTTTTTGGCACATGCCGAAAACTGCTCTGAGGTCTTTCGCTAAATCCTTACACGTCGACATCACGCCAGATGCCTCCCTGTTCGAGGTGCTCAGAGCATGTGTCGTGAAGTGTTTACCAGACGTTGGACCCGAGAGGCTGTCTGACATCTTAGCCCAGAGGTGTCCGCCTTCTGACCGTTTCGATCAGTTCCTTCAGACCGATGATGCCGTTGATTTGTTGGAGCAAGGTGACGCCAAAGACGCATTCAAACACTTGGAGGAATCAAAAAAGAAAGATGAGTTGACGCGTGGTTTTGTCAAAGACTTGGTAACATTCAGAAAAACGAACCACATTGGACCAGCCTTCAAAGCCGCAGCTGCGGCAAAGAAGAAGGCAGCTCCGAAAATGACGTCCTCTGGCGCGAAGCCGACTGCCACGCAGGTGATCGTAGACGATAGGATTTACCCGAAGCGGCTGCCAGACCCAACGGCTGCTGAGTGGACTTTGGCTCAGATTCGGTCGTGGCTGCCCCCTGACGATACCCAGATTTACCTGGACCGCGTGAATAATAGATGGCAATTGTTTTGGAAGGGGCTCCGGAAAACCCGCAGCGCCTCGAATTCATTGCATGGCTTCTACAACGCCCCTCGCCTACTGTTGCGGGAGGCGTGGTCGCAGTGCCAGCGGCTCGGGGGCTCTGCCCCGCCGTGGGAGTTGCGAGCGCGATTGCGCCGCATAGTGGGCCAAACATCATCGCACCACCGTTCTCGTGAATGTACCTCTCGTTGCCACGATGATATGAAGGGCTTCGCCTCCTCCGCTGGTCCTCTACCTGGTTGCTTGGCTGGCTGTGTGACTGGTTGGATCTTTGGCTGGTTGGTTGGATGATTGGCCGTTGAGTCGCGGGCTGGTTTCTGGCAGCTGGAAGTTTGACTGGATAGATAGTCAGTTGGTCGTTTGGCTGGCGGGATGGGCGCCGGCATGTCGGCAGGTTGGTTGCCGCGCCCTTTTTGCGGGGCCGAGACGTGGGCGGGCGCGGGCTGGGGGGTGCGCGTTGGCATTGGGGGGGGAGGCGCGCCGTCGGGGGGCGGCCTAGGGGCGGCCCGGGGGCGCGGGAGAGGGCGGGGTCAGGCGGCAAGGGGGGGCGCGGGGCGAAGCAGATGCCAGCGACGGGAACGAACCGCGGGGAGGGGCAGAGGGGGCGGGGACAGGAGAGGGACGAAAAATGCTGGGGCTGCGGGGGTAGCTGGGGGCGGGGGCCATTGGGGGAGACGGGGGCCATGGGAAAAGGAGACGGGGCCGCGGGGCCGGATGGGGCGGAAGCGGGGGCCGGACCTGGCAGGGGCAGGGCGCGAGGATCCTGGCGCTCGGAACGCGAACCCCTCGTGTATTCCACGGGTTGCAACATCCTGCGCGCGGACACGTGCCATTTTCATTGGCATCGTGGCACTTGGGGCCTGAACCCATTGTGTTTTACGTCGGATCGTGGATGCGGGGGCGCAGTTTTCGTCGTAGTTCGCGGGGCTGCGAGCGCTGGCGGGCAGTCCGCGTCTCCTGCGAGAGCTCGTGTCCTCGGGAATGCACGCCTACGTCAATGTCACAGAAGTCGCGGGTCAATCGCCCAGGGGCCACCGTTTGTTCTCCAGGGCCGTCGCCTTCCAATGACGGAATCGTTCGTTTCCTTCAACTGTGCGCCAATGCGACGGCGGGTTACAGCGATCATGTCCGGGGCTTCGGGGATTTCGCGCGGGGGCAGGGTTTGCGCGAGTTGATGCTTCGTGCGCCTGGAGCGGCATATAATAATGATTGTATTCAGGGGCGGCGGCGCGCGCGTCTGTAATGGCTAGGAAATGCCAGCGTTTAGCTCGCAAGCGGCGATGATTCGCATGCCCCCCCCAAATGGCGCGGGCATCGGCAACGCTTCGGGTGCCGAGAATCATTGGTAAGTTAGCGGTTCGAATGGCCAATCGGGCAGCGAGCTCTCGTAATTTGATGTCCTTGACGCAGAATGTCCACGGATTTTGAGTTCGTTCCACATGCGCGCGCACGGCAGTTTCCCTCCCCCCCGACAGTTCCCCTGAGTTCCGCGGGGTTGGCGGCGCGCACGGGGCACGTACCTTCGGCGAGGGGGGGCCGCATGTTGGCGGGATGTGGCGGCATGGAGAAAGTGCGGGGACTCCCGTCGGCAGGTTATGGTCGTGGGCGGGCGGATCGATCGAGCCGCTTCGCCGCGCGCTGTCGCATGTGACTGGTGCCTGCCACGCCGCGGACAGTTTGGTATTGTTCGGTTCCCGTTTGGAAGCGGGGGTGGTCAAAAGCGAGGGAGGTTCGTTTGCTTCTTAGAGAGGGCATTCACCGCGGATCCAAACAGGACCTCGCCATTCCCGGGGGGTTGCGATCTGCGAAACCGTCGCCACTGTCGAGGGCTTCTGGGGATGCCAGCAGAAAGGGCATTCACCGCGGATCCAAACAGGACCTCGCCATCCCTGGGGGCTGCGATCAGTGAAACTGTCGCCACTTTCGAGGGCTGCTGGGGAGGCCAGCAGAGAGGGCACTCACCGCGGATCCAAACAGGACCTCGCCATCCCTGGGGGCTGCGATATGTGAAACTGTCGCCACTTTCGAGGGCTGCTGGGGGGCCCAACACAGTGACGCCACGCGCGGACCCAAACGGGACCTCGCCATCCCTGGGGGGCTGCGATCTGCGAAACTGTCGCCATTTTCGAGTGCTGCTGGTGGGTCCTGCGGGGTGGGGCACCGCGCGGACCTGAGCGGGACCTCGCCGTCCTTGTGGGGGGCTGCGATCTGCGAAATGTAGCCACTTTCGAGGGCTGATGGTGGTTCCTGCGGAGCGAGGCGCCGCGCGGACCTGAGCGAGACTTCGCCGTCCCTGGGGGGGTGCGATCTGTGAATCTGTCGCCAGTTTCGAGGGCTGCTGGTGGTTCCTGGGGAATGAGGCACCGCGCGGGCCTGAGCGAGACCTCGCCCTCCCTGGGGGGTTCCGATCTGCGAAACGGTCGTCACTTTCGAGGGCTGCTGGTGGGTCCTGCGGAGCGAGGCACCGCGCGGACCTCAGCGGGACCTCGCCGTCCCTCGGGGTTGCGATCTGCGAAATTGTCGCCACTTTCGAGGGCTGCTGGTGAGTCCTGCGGAGTGAGGCACCGCGTGGACCTGAGCGGGACCTCGCCGTCCCTGTCGGGCTGCGATCTGCGAAATGTCGTCACGTTCGAGGGCTGCTGGTGGGTCCTGCGGAGTGAGGCGCCGCGCGGACCTGAGCGAGACCTCGCCGTCCCTGGGGGGGTGCGATCTGTGAATTTGTCGCCAGTTTCGAGTGCTGCTGGTGGGTTCTGCGGAGCGAGGCACCGCGCGGACCCGAGCGGGACATCGCCGTCCCTGGGGGGCTGCGATCTGCGAAATGTCGCCAGTTTCGAGGGCTCATGGTTCCTGCGGAATGAGGCACCGCGCGGGCCTGAGCGGGACCGCGCCGTCCCTGGGGGGCTGCGATCTGCGAAACGGTCGCCACTTTCGAGGGCTGCTGGTGGGTCCAGCGGAATGAGGCACCGCGCGGACCTGAGCGGGACCTCGCCGTCCCTGGGGGGCTGCGATCTGCGAAGCCGTCGCCACTTTCGAGGGCTGCTGGTGGTTCCTGCGGAGCGAGGCACCGCGCGGGCCTGAGCGAGACCTCGCCGTCCCTGGGGGGCTGCGATTTGCGAAATTGTCGCCATTTTCGAGGGCTGCTGGTGGATCCTGCGGAGTGAGGCACCGCGCGGATCTGAGCGGGACCTCGCCGTCCCTGGGGTGCTGCGATCTGCGAAATTGTCGCCACTTTCGAGGGCGGCTGGTGGGTCCAGCGGAGCGAGGCACCAGGCAGATCTGAGCGGGACATCGCCATCCCTGGGGGGCTGCGAGCCTCACGAATGCCGCTTGCAGAAGTATATGCGCCCATGTCACGTCATCACCTCCGTATAACGCCTCCCAAGCTACTCATGCCCCGCAGTGCGCAAGGGTTGGGTACGTCGCCAGGGTAATTTTCCGATGCGTTTTCCTTGCGCAATTGGCCAAAATAAATCTGCCAATCCGCCGGGGCCGGTTTCGCGCTGCATTGGTGGATATTTTGAAGGCGATTTTCTGGCCTGCGCTGTCAGAGCCCGCGCGTGTTTTCAGAGCCGCTTCACGTGGGGCACCATTTTCAGAGCCGTTTTTTCCTGACATATTCGTAGGACCCCATCCGCAGTGCAGCGCATTTCGCTTTCGTTCTACCTCGCCGTGCCGTGGACAGCCAGCCCGCGCTGGCACCTTGAAAGCCGCAGATCCGCATGAATGTGGCGAGTGCATTTTTGCATGTTCCAACGGAACCCCATCCCGGATACACATCACGCGAGAAAATTATACCCATGTAGGCCTTCGTTGCCACGGCAGGAAAGTCGTCATCTTACTTTTCCCTCTCCGTCGAGGGGCTGGCCTTTTTCGATGCGCCCGACCTCTTCCAGAGGTTCGGGCAGTTTCTCCAGCGTGTGAGTCTGGTCCCTCCTCGTCCTTTTCATGCATCGAATGTCGCCCTGACGCTGCCTCGGAATAGTCGCCTTCTTCCTCCCCCTCCTCCTCCTTCTCCTCCTCCTCCTCCTCTTCCACCGTTTCCTCCCCCTCTTCCTCCCCGCATTCTCGCTCTCACTGCAGGGCGCATGCAGGGTTCGCGTTGTTTCCTGTTCCGCCGCTTCGCGATTCTCTTCGTTGCGACGGTTGCCATCGTCGCGCGTGGATAAAAGGATTCACCGTCGAGGTTTCCGCAATCGTG